GGGATCACGCTGCGGCCAGCCCCAGGTGGGGCAGCGCAGCGGGGTCTGCCTGCAGTATGCAAATTAGTTGTCATCTTTGTTGGCGTTTATAGCGCTGATAAGCCAATGGGAGGTGTAGCGAAGGTATGGTCAATTACCATGTTTGTCTATTATTAGATAGGATTTTAGTAAGTGACTTAACTTCTGTAACTTCCATTTTCTCATTTGTAAAATGAGACTGTTCGTAATAACTTCATACTTTGAACAGTGTCTGGCAGTGTAAACCTACAAGAATGCTGGTAATTAATATTATTTATCACCATATTTTTGTCAGTTGCCAAGTCATGTTGATTCTACTACTACAATGTTTAGCACTGGTCCCTTCCTTTCTGTAGCTGTTTTCAACATCCTAGTTCAGTGGTCGGCAAACTGCGGCTCGCGAGCCACATGCGGCTCTTTGGCCCTCTGAGTGTGGCTCTTCCACAAAATACCACGGCGGGCGCGCCATGTACAGTGCGATTGAAACTTCATGGCCCATGTGCAGAAGTCGGTATTTTGTGGGAGAACCACTCTCAAGGGGCCAAAGAGCCGCATGTGGCTCGCAAGCCGCAGTTTGCCGACCACTGGTAAGACTTAAAACTTTAAGTAAAGTTTATTAAGTTAATTTTAGGGAATGTTGTGGAGTGAAAGAAGATGTAGTGTCAAGGATTGAGAAAGGTATGTTGAGATGGTTTGGGCATATAGAGAGGATGAACAAAAGGAGATAGACGAAACAAGTACACAAGATGAGTGTGGATGGGAGAGTTGGAAGGGGTCAACCTCAGCGAACGTACCTCAATCAGATTGAGGACGTTTTTTAGCAAAGGCCAGTTTAGGAGTACCCTAATTAAGTTAATAACAATGTACCTACCTATATAGTTTAAGTTTAAAAAATCTGGCTCTCAAAAGAAATTTCAGTCGTTGTACTGTTGATATTTGGCTCTGTTGACTAATGAGTTTGCCGACCACTGGCCTAGTTCAAACCCACAGATGATCTTGGCTGGACTATTGTAGCCCCTACCTAATTGATTTCCTTGCCTCTTTTCTTTCTGTCCCAGTCTTGCACAATGCTACTGGATTGTCGCATTACTTCCATGCTCTAAAACCTTAATTCCTTTCCTCTTGCTTTCTAAACTATGTGCACACTTCATTAAGGCCCTCCTTCACATAGTTCCAGTGTGCCCTTCTCCAACACCAGTATACAATACTGCCGGCCTTTACTCAAACTCTGTGCATCCTCTGCTGATTTTCTCAGCCATTTGAAATTCTTTTAATTTCACCTCAAGTGGCAGCAACTACACTTTGTACATTTCTTCTCACAATAATATTCTCCACTCTAATCATTTGAATCCTTATATTTAGATTTTGCACTTTAGATGCAAGGAATTATATGTCTTAAGTTTCACCTGTGTCTTTCTCTAGCTCTATACCATATGGTAGATGTTTTAGTAAATATTCATTGAATTAATTTTCTTTCAATTGTCATTATTTTCCTCTAGGAATGATCAACAGCATCAAGCAGCTGAGCTTGAATCTGAGGAAAATGTTATTCCAGATTCACCGATAACGGCCTTTTCATTTTCTGGCATTAATCGGCTACGAAGAAGGGAGAACCTCCATGTCCGATACATAGAACAAACACATACTAAACCGGAGCTCTCTGTGTGTACAAATGGTAAGGATTTAGAGTTACACTTCAGTTATTTGGTTTTGTAAAAATAGTATCCATCTATTGTTTTTGTGTTATTCAATTTCATGGAAGGTAAATAGTCATTGTTCAGGTAAACTTGTTATACCTGTAAATTTAACTTCCACTAATGAAGTGACTGGAAAGACATTTTCTACCTGTATTATATATAGACATGTATTGTTCTTCTGAATATGTAAACACCCAGCATTTCATAAACATTGTTTATAGTTTCTTGTTTTCTTTTTATTTAAAAAACATTCTTATTGTATATATCTGAGTGGGATAACAGGAAAGAGGAAAGGAACTTAACACTAATTTTTACCTACTGTGCGCTGAGTGGTTTGAATACAGTATTACTATATTTGAATTCTCATGTAGCTATTAGCACCTATATTTTATAGATTATGAAAAAATGCTCTTTAGAAGGGTTAAATAACTCACTCAGGGTCACCTCTCAAGTAAGTAGATGAGTCAGAATTCAAATACAGATCTTCCTAACTTAAACTTCTGTCTTTTCCAGATCTTGCCCACATTGAAAATCCTGTCTTTAACTGGCTATTCTTACTTGTTATAATCTGTAGCAATTGGTGGTAATAAAGAAATAGCATTATAACATATCACTTTGTGGTTTACCATGTCTGTTAAATGCTTTGGGAATACCCTTTCATGTAGTCCTGAAATGTATTATGTGACATGATACAAAGATTATTTCTTTCAATATTGATCTAAAGTATACGGTAAACTTTAATTTTTAACCTAAACTATTTGTAACATATTTTATAATTCAAATAAATTTTTAAGAGTAGCTATGCCTTTGAAAAAATAAGTAAATCTTATTCTTTGACATTGGAAAATTGGCATAATTTTCATCATTTTACATGACCTTACATCACCATCTAGTGGAAAATAAGAGAACTGTTAAAAATCTTACACATAATCAAGAGCTAAAATAAAATGTAAGATCATAGATGTAGAATGAACATGCATTGGCCTTTTAGTCTGTTATCAGACAGGAGTTACTACAGATAACCATCTGCTTAATTTAGGTCATGTTTAAATCCATGTATAAGAATAGTCAGAAAAACAAATTCACAGCAATTTTCTTTATTAGGAAAGTCTTCTTTTGTATCACAAAAGCTCCTGGCTTGTTTCTTCATTATATAAGAATAACATACAACTTGATTTGTCTGTTTAATTTCGTACTAACCATTTTTACTTGGAATCTGAAATTTGGGATTCAAATGCAAGATAACTTTTGAGCCATGCAAATTAAATTAAAATTGACTTAATGACTACTTAGTCCTTTCCTCTTTCTAACCATCTTTGCTTATTTATTTTAAAGTTTATATTGCTTTTTAAAATTATTTATTTGAGAGAGCAAGAGAGAGAAACATCCATTTGTTGATGCATTCATTGGTTGATTGTTGTATGTGCCCTGACCAGGAACGAACCTGCAACCTTGGCATATTGGGATGACACTAACCAACTGAGCTACCCAGCCAGAGCAGTTTATATGCTTTTCAATATTATTTTCAGGTTATAATTAGTAAAAGTCTATTTCCCTTTACTTACTCTTTGTTTGTTTTTCTTTGAATTATTTCTGACAAAGCATGTTTCAGGATTTCCTTTCAGAAAATAAAAACTAAAACAAAGATTGTGGAGATCTGGGATGCAGTATTTATTTTAAACTGACCTACTGATTTACAACAAATACATAAGGAAACAATACATTAAAATATTAGTTTTAGGAGACTTGGATCAAAAAAAGCACATCTGCTCTAGTTCACTCTCCCACTGTCCTTTAACTACTACTGATCTAACTTCCAGCTTTGTTTCTAGTGAAATTGTGGCAGGAACTTGTTATTAGAATATGAAAGTTGTATTAATAAAATAGTACTTCTAATACCGGTAAAGATAGGTTTGTATTGGTTTATCAGAATAGCATTTTGATATTTTCCATCGTGATGGTTTATATATAATCTTTCCTTTTTTCCCTTTAGAATTGAGAAAAGTTCCAAAATCTTCAACTCATCTACAACATAAGCCTAATGAAAATGAAATTCTAGTGGCTGACACTTGTGATCAAAGTCAATCTCCAGTGGCTAGTAAGCAAAATATTGAAATTACTTTATTAGTTTAAAATTTGTGGTTGTTGGTGGGCAAGAGTGGCCAACAGTCTGAATTAGACAATATTTTAACATTTTTTATTAATTTTGTTTGTATTACTAGGTCTTTAGCAGTCTTTTTCATATTAGAAAGTAATGTTATTCTGTTATTAAATCATATTAGTAGCTCTACGCATTTTAATACAAAGTGCTAATATATTTTAAGTAAACAATGCTTTATTCTGGTTTACTCATTGATTCAAGAAATATTTTAGTGTTTACTATATACCAGGCGCTGAACAAAACGAAGCCCTTAACTTCACTGAGCTTACAATCTAGTTGGGGAGAGGAAGGAAATAAACAGATATAGGGTGTCTCAAAAAATGTACACACACACTTTGAATAATTAAAATACATTTCATTTTCAAAATTGAGCTATCAGCTGTTAAAGTGTGTATACATTTTTAGGGGACACTGTATGTGTTAGGCTTTCTAATACCTCTTCTTAGCAGGGTAAGAAGAGATATGGGAAAGCTTCACTTTAAAAGTGACATATGAACAGAGACTAAGGAAAGGAAGTGAGTCATGTGGGTGTCTGGGGGAAGGGTATTCCAGGTAGAGAAGTTGGCGAGGACCAAGACTGAAGTGAGGGTGCTGTTTGGTTGGTTTGAAGAACCTTAAGGAGACCTGTGTGACTGGGGCAGACTGAGCGAAGGGGAGATTGGTTTGGGCAACTCTATTAACTGAGAGGGAAGAAGCAGCAGGTTTGCAGAATAGGGTGGGGGTGGTTAGAAATCAGGAGCTTGGTTTTGAGAGTATTCTGTTTGAGATACCTGATAGACATTCAAATGAAGATTTTAGATGGGTAGGTGGATATGAGTTTAGAGAAGTCTAGGATAGAGGATTGGAAGTTGTTAGCATGTAGGTGGTATCAAAGCCATGAGAGTGGGCGAGATTACCAACCAAGTGAATGTAGATAGAGAAGTCCAAGTACTTAGCCCTGAGGCACTACATAGTGTAAAATAGTGATTCTCAAGTTTGTTTGTTTTCTTTTTTTTTAACATGTTTTTATTGATTTCAGAAAAGAAGGGAGAGAGAGATAGAAACAGCAACGATGAGAGAGAATCACTGATCCGCTGCCTTCTTCACGCCCCACACTGGGGATGGAGCCCACAACCCGGGTATGTGCCCTTGACTGGAATCAAACATGGGACTCTTTAGTCCACAGGCTGACACTCTATCCACTGAGCCAAACCGGCTAGGGCTCAAGTTTTTTTTTCATTATCACCCTTACACTAGCCTTTTTAGATATTTTTTTCCTCTAATCACTTTCCCTATGGAATTTTAATAGTTCTAGTTCAGCTGTAATATATGAATATATGTATATCTGTGTGTTACATTTTTGTTAAATCCCCCCAAAGCCATTTTCACCCCCTTGGAGGTGATATTGCAACTGTAGAAGTGGTGATTTAGAGGTTGTTGAAATGAGGAGGACCAACAAAGTAGCCATTGAAGTAGCTAATAGTGAGATAGGAGAGCTAAGATAGTGTGTCCTGTAAGCCAGGTGGAGAGACGGGGGAGAAGTCAACTGTGGCAAACAGTGCTAATAAGTGAAGAAAGGTGAAGACTGAGATTTGAGCATTGGATTTGGTCACATGGAGATCACTGAGTGTTAAACTCATAGCATGAACTATTAAAGTGTAAGGTTATCAGCTAGGCTGTTTCAAGTTCAAAAGAAACCAGGATCAGAGAAAAGTGGAGAGAGCACTATTAACAAGTCCTTCAGAAGATGGGATATTAGCCCTAACCGGTTTGGCTCAGTGGATAGAGCGTTGGCCTGCGGACTGAAGGATCCCAGGTTTGATTCCGGTCAAGGGCATGTACCTTGGTTGCAGGCACATCCCCAGTAGGGGGTGTGCAGGAGGCAGCTGATCGATGTTTCTCTCTCATCGATGTTTCTAACTATCCCTCTCCCTTCCCCTCTGTAAAAAATCAAAATATATTTTAAAAAAATAAAAATAAAAAATGGGATATTAAAACACATTCAGTATATTTTTATGTTGATGGAATGATCAAGTAAAGAGAGAAATGAATAATCCTGGAGAAAGAAGGAACCATTGCTAGATCCTTGAAAAGCCGAGTGGAGATGGGATCCAGGGAAGGATTAGCCAAGGTTAATCATTTACTCAGTATAAAACTTACACTCTGGCAGTAACCGGTTTGGCTCAGTGGAGAGAGCGTCGGCCTGTGAACTGAAGGGTCCCAGGTTCGATTCCAGTCAAGGGCATGTACCTTGGTTTCGGGCACATCCCCAGTAGCGGGTGTGCAGGAGGCAGCTGATCGATGTTTCTCTCTCATCGATGTTTCTAACTCTCTATTCCTCTCCCTTCCTCTCTGTGAAAAATCAATAAAATATATATTTAAAAAAAAAAACTTACACTCTGAAAGCCACAGATAACTTTATATTAGCATGTGTGTATGTTTGTGTGCAAGCATGTGTGCATATGTATAAACAGGACTGTCTGGCAAAGGGTGCTGGGGATACAACATCAAATATGCAGGTCCTTGCTCCTCAGCACTCTGGACCCATCCTCTTCTGCTGAGGGAGATGACTCCATCAGTTGTTCTCTTTTCCTATATTTCCTCCAGCTACTCTGCAGGTTCTTTCTTTTCAACATATGCATACATGTTATCTTTTCTCTTTTAGAAATAACCCCTCTTGTCTCCATCCTTAGCGACAGCTTCTCTCAAAGCTGAAAAAAGTTCTTTCAGTATCTCTTCTCTCTCAATTCACTTCATTCCCCCTTACACCCCAAAAGGGGGGGAGCAATGAGGGAAAGTAGTATGGGAAAGGGATGAAGGAGGGGGAAGAAGAAAGAGAGAGGAGGGGCAGAGAAGGAGGATATAGTCTCACACTCTCTTCTCACACATTACATTGGAACTGCTCTGGCAAAAGTCATCCATGACCTCCTGGTTGTTAAATCTAATTACTAGTAATACTTCCCAGACCTTGTCTTACTTGACCTTTCTGTGACATTGGACATTGAGCATTCTCTGTTTCTTAAAGTGGTGCCACTTCCTGGTTCTCTTCTTATTGTTCTTTTTTTGCCTTCCTTTATTGGCTGTTCTTTTAAATGTTACTGTCCCCAATAGGTATGGTTCTTGGTCTATTTTTGTCTCACTTTCTGGAAGAATCTAGAGTTAATATTCTGCTGCAACCTATATGCTAATAAATCCCAAATCTATATCGCTGTTCAAGACTTTTCTCCTTATTTCCAAACCAGTGTATCTGCCTACTGTTGAGCATCTCTACCTGGATATTCTTCAACTTCAGCATGTCCAAAATTGAAAATTTTCTGTCAAACCTACTCCTCATCCTTTTATTTACAATCTCAGTAAATGACATTCTACATACCTCTCTGAGTTACCTAAATCAAAAAACTGTGAGTTATCCTAGAAACCTGCTTTTTTATCTCTCATATCTAAATACTCTCCAAATCTTATTGATTCCACCTCCTACATATCTGGCATAGACATTCTTCTGTACCCCCATTGTACTAGTTTAGGCCAATCAGCATCCCTCATACGACTGTTTTAGTAATTGAATTAGTCCTCTTACCTGTTAAGACTGCTTCTTGCTCTGTCATCCTGTCATGGCTAAAATTACTTTTTAAACCCAAATACTGCATCTGTCCTCCATTAAAAACCTTTAGCTATCTCTTCATTGTCTACAGGATAAATTTCAAACTCTTTAGCATAATCTGAACCTGTCTGGGTTCATGTCCTATTACTACATCTTTTGCTCTTTAATTTTCAGCAATTGAACCACGTGTCATTCCCTGAATGTGTAATTTTGTTTCACATATATAGACCCTTACACATGCATAGAACTCTTTTCTCTGCTCCTAGTCCAGTGACCTGTCAAATTCCTTTTTCTCTCAAGGGTCAGCTTAGGCATCACTTAATGTAGTTTTTCTTGATTTTCCAAGGCAGATTTAGGAGTCTTTATGTTTAAATCTCCCCTTTTTAATGTACTTTTATTACAGTGTTGATCACATTTTATTGCAGTTCTCTTTTTACCTTTCTATAGCCCATAAGTTCCTTGAGGACAAAAGTTTTTTCTTTTCATCTAGCATAACACCTGGAACATAGTATGTGCTCCATAAATACTTACTGAATTATTGGAACTCTGTGTATAAAATATTTGTATGTGTGTGTTTTAAATGCGATCTTTTTTTGTAATTTTTTTATTGATTTCAGAGAGGAGGGGAGAGGGGGAGAGAGATAAGAAACATCAATGATGAGAGAGAATCATCGATCGGCCACCTCCTGTATGTGCCACACTGGGAATTGAGCCCGAAACCCGGGCATGTGCCCTGACCAGGAATCAAACAGTGACCTCCTGGTTCATAGGTTGATGCTCAAGTTGAGCCACGCCAGCTGGGCTGTATATAGTATTTGAACATAGATGATTTCTGCAGAAATTTGTGTTAGTTTAAAACTTGAAAATTATGCAGTATTGAAAATCTCTCCCATAAAGTATGTTTTTATGAAAGGTATTATAAATATGGTTTGATATTCATAGTATATCTTAGGTCACAGTGCACCCATTATAAATATATATTGTTTTTATGATATTACTCAGTTGCAATAAGAAAAATAATCTATCTGTTGCATCCAATTCACTTAAGATAAATAGAAAATTTAGCTGAAAATGTTTGGCAGATGCAGATGCTAGATATTTGCAACTTATTGCAATTTATTGTAGATATATTTGGGCCTTTTTGCACAGAATATTAAAAATTGTTCAGTGCCATCTTGTAACAATGTTCTGTGAGCCTTTTATTCCTCTTTAAAAAATTTTTTTAATCCTCAAGGATATGTTTATTGATTTGAGAGAGACAGAGAGAAACATTAATGCGAGAGAAAAACTTCGATTGGTTGCCTTCTGCACATGCCCCAACCAGGAAGCGAACCTGCAACCTTTTTGGTATATGAGACAGTGCTCCAACCAATTGAGTCACCTGGCCAGGGCTTTTTTGTATTTTTTTGTACATCTAGTTTCTACAATTATATAATTGGGGTGTTTTTTTTCTTATTTAGAAACACGTGGAACAAGTAGTTATCCCACTGATAAGTCATCTTTTAATTTAGCTACAATTGTTGCCGAGACACTTGGACTTAGTGTTCCAGAAGAATCTGTAAGTAGATGTTTAGTTTGGTGATAACATGAATTAATTGGTGTCTTTTTAGGTCAGTTTTTAGAGAATTGAGCAAGAAAAAAAAAAACACCAACACTTTTTTTCCCCAAAGACCATTGGATAAAGGCCTAGAATAAAATTGGTGTGGCTAGAAAGACTCATTTATATTATTTGCCCTAAGCTGTTCCAGAAATCTAGAGTCTTTAGAATTTTGGGGATATAGGTTGTGGATTGAGTCAGAATTTAGGGAAATGATAATGGCTTAGAGGGTTTGGCCAATCCTCTTCCCTGCACCCTCACTTCCCCCTATTCCTACCCTGTTTCATCTAAGAGAAGGCCTGAGCCTTTAGATTTCAGAATTTATTGGATCTTCTGAACCTCCTTTAAACTGGGGTTTGATTTGAAAAACAGATGAATTCTTGGGACTACCAAATATATTTTAGTTCTCTGTCCTTATAAGTGCCAATCCAAAAAAACCTAATTGACCCCATGATTTTTGTATTATTTTAGTGCTTCCTTAGTCAGGCACATTTATTTTTTTCTTAATTGATTCCTAAAAATAGAAAACTTGAATTCTTCAATCTTAAGAAAGTTTCACTTTGATACAACTTTAAAATACTACTCCTGTGCTTTAGTTGGTAAATGTATATGGGTCTTATAAAATTGTCTTACTATTTAGTGAATTTGTAAAAATTGAATTGATTTTTCATTACATTTGGGTAATTTGTTGTTATTTTCTTCTAGTTATAAATCTTCATTCAAGTGATAGTGGGTAATTTTTAACCTTTGATCTTTAAATGTTTTAATGGTTTTTCATTTTCTCCTACCCATAAGCCTGGCATGTCAATAGTTCTGACACCAAATATAGTAATAGAGCTGATCTCTAAGGATTTGGTGCTCAAATGGGATCCACAGTCCAACAGCATCTGCATCATCTTGAAATTTCTTACAAAATCTCAGATGCCACCCAAACCCACTGAAAGAAAACATGCATTTTAACAAGATCCTCAGTTGTCTTTTTTAAAGTTTGAGCACCACTGCTCTCCAAAGGATCCTTTTAACTTCATCTCCTGTCAGTATAAATAATCATATCTATTCCCTTCCCCTCATCTTAATAATTTTTTTGGAATTGGAGTTTTATATATCAGTAATGGAATGTACTTACTTAAAATAGTAAAATAGCAATGCTTTTTTCTCTTTAAACTTAAAATGTGCTTTATATATTTTATTGTGATAAAAAATGCACATAATGTAAAATTAACCATTTTAAAGTGTACAATTCATTGGAATTTAGTATGTTCACAATATTATGCAACTACCACTTCTATCTGGTTCCAAAGTATTACTATCATCATCCTAAAAGAAAACCAGTTAAACAGTCCTTGTTCCCCAGTACTCGCTGCCTCTGGCATCCACCAATCTGCTTTCTGTCCTTACACATTGACCTATTCTGGGTAATTCATGTAAATTGAATCATACATGATGTGGCTTTTGAGCCAGGCTTCTTTCCTTTACCCTATTTTTGAGGTCAGCCATATTGTAGCATATGTCAGTATTCCTTTTTAAGGAAAAATAATATTTCATTGTATTTATGTACTTTATATTTTACTGCTGAAGGAATCTCACAGTCCCATGAGCCCTGTTGGTGATGAGCTCTACCACTGTCTGGAAGGAGATCACAAGAAACAACCTTTAGAGGAATCTACAAGAAATAATAAAGATAGTTTAAGGTAATTGGGGGCACTTTGGTGAAAATTTATAAACTATTGGTGAAATCCTATTCCATATAATTAAACTATTTCTCTCCCTCAGCATATAGTTTGTTATTCTGGTTGTATTAATTTTTATTTTAAAAAATACTTTCCAGTTTATGACCAATTGAGGGCTTTTTTGCATTACTCTAGTGAAACAGATATTTTTAGATTCTTTCTGTACTTCTGTTAAGCAGTACATAAGAGTTCCCAGCCTTGTTACCCTGCCGCTTTAAAAACCCAGTCATCCCTCATGGGTTTGCATTTCCAAAAACTGGATATTGTATAAAGCTTGGATGAAATTGTATAAAGATAGTGTTGCACCTTGCTTTTACTAATTTCAAAACAACCATTAATTTATAATACCTATATCTATGTAGCATTTTGCTTTTTAAAAGAGCTTTCAGTTTTAGGTAGATATATCACATTTAACTTGTCATCATAGTAACTCATTAAAGTAGTATTTTGTCAATTGTTAAAATATTACCACCATATTTTACAATCGACAAAAATGTAGCTCCAGAGAGGTTAAATGTCTTGTTTAAGGCTCTGCCTTCAGTACTTGAGGCAGAGCTTTACCCAACCAAGGTCTTTTCACTACCAAAGCTGTCTCCTCTGCTAGAGGCAAACTGGGTCTTTTTGTTATTAATCCTCACCCGAGGATATTTTTCCATTCATTTTTCCCCCATTGATTTTTAGAGAGAGTGGAAGGGAGGGGGAGACACAGAGAGAAAAACATAGATGTGAGAGACACACATTGATTGGTTGCCTCCCGCACGTACCCCAACCAGAGCCGGGGATCGAGCCTGCAACCGAAATATGTGCCCTTGACTGGAATCGAACCCAGAACACTTCAGTCTGCGGACAGATGCTTTATCCACTGAGCCAAACCAGCTAGGGCTGGGTCTTAATTCATGTTCGGTTCTGTAGTATAAGAATTTATTTCTTGGAGTTACTCATGACAGGATTTCATAGCAACAGAAGTTGGGTCCCCAGTGGAATTTATTAAAATATGATTTTTTTAATATAGTGAAGTTATTTAAATTATTTAGGGAAAATATCTATAGGTAGGACTATCATGGTATTGAGATAGGAGAATTGTATCATTTTCCTCTGCTTTTTGTCAGCTAAAGGAAAAGCTGGTGAAGCATCTATCTCTAATATGTAGATAAAACCTTATTATTAATAATTCTATATTAGCATATGTTTTCTCATTATGCTATCTTTTAATTTTTACCTGATTTCTTTATCTTCTTAGATTTTCAGATCCTAATTCAAAGACTCCTCCTCAAGAAGAACTGACTACTCAGGTATCATCTCCTGTGTTCGGAGCTACCTCTAATGTGAAAAGTAGTTTTGGTTTGAATACAAGTTTGTCCCCTTCTCTTTTGGAGACTGGGAAAAAAAGCCATCTGAAAACAGCACCTTTTAGCAGCACTTCTAATTCTAGATTAGAGAAAACTAGATCAAAATCTGAAGATAGTTCCCTTTTCATACATCCTAATCTTGGGTCTGAAGGGAACAAGATTAGCCAATCTTCTAATAAACAGATGCTTATAAATAAAAATATAAGTGAATCCATAAGTGAACAGGATAATATTGATCATATTAAAAATGCTATTACTGATAAACATGTGGTGCCCCTGAAATCATTGGGATGCAAAACATCCAAAAGGAAGAAAATTGAGGAAGAAAGTGAAGATGAAGCAAGCTGCCCCCAAGCCTCTTTTGATAAAGAAAATGCTTTTCCTTTTCCACTGGATAGTCATTCTTCTATGAATGGAGACTATGTGATGGATAAACCTCTGGATCTCTCTGATCGATTTTCAGCTATTCAGTGTCAAGAGAAGAGCCAAGGAAGTGAGACCTCTAAAATCAAATTTAGACAGGTGACACTCTATGAGGCTTTGAAGCCCATTTCAAAGGGTTCTTCCTCAAGCCGAAAGTTTTTAAGTGGTAGCTTTGTGCCAGCCAAAGATCCTCCAGAGGAGCCCCGTTTACAGGAGTATGTCCTTCAGCCCCTGATTAAATCCTCTCCAGATAACAAAACACCATTACAAATAAAAGAAGAAAATCCTATCTTTAAAATCCCTCTACATCCACGTGAAAGTTTGGAAACAGAGAATCTTTTTGATGATGTGAAGGTTTGTGTTAAATATTCATGGATTTTGGTTTTAAATGGTTGGTTGTGATTTCACCTAGATACAAATGATTCTTTCTGTTTTAGGGTACTGGTTCTCATGAACCAGTAAGAATAAAAACCAGGTCAGTTCATGGAGAATGTGAACTTGCATCAGTTCTTCAGTTAAATCCATGTAGAATCGCTAAAACAAAACCTCTACAAAACAATCAAGGTATATACACTATAGGTAGTACTTCCACTCTTTATATATATTATCTTGGTATATTATTTAAGATACTAAATATATTATTCTTTGGGTAGATTGAATTGTTTTGGGAGAAAATGTTTTCTTTCTGCATGTTTCTGTATTTACAGAATAATTCTCTTTGGGTTCATTTTACATGTGATATATCCTCGAGCTTTTAGAAAAGTGAATTAAGATCTTTAATACCTACTTTTATAGGTGATTTTGTGGAGTTATCTATTCTATGTAGTTCTTTTTTTAAGTTTTTATTTCTTGAATTTAGAGAGAGAGAGAGAGAGATTTGTTATTCTACCTATTTGTGTATTCATTGGTTGCTTCTTGTATGTGCCCTGATCGAACACACAACCTTGGTGTATCATGATGATGCTCTAACCAACTGAGCTACCTGGTCAGGGCTGTAGTTATTTCTTATTTTCTTTACAAAAGCTTTAAAAAATGTACACAGAATTTTAAAATATATAAAGTAGAATTTTCATCATCCAAAACTTGTTTCTCATCCCATAGGTAACCTGTTCTTTTTCTTTGTGTTTACATGTATATCTATAAACATATGCATATATTTACATGGGTTTTTCAGCTTCTTGTTTTAAAACATGGTTTGCTGTAATATGTATAATCATTCTTTCATAAGTCTGCTCTGTTTAAAAGGAGTCTTTGGTTTTTATAGCAACCAAGTATTTCTGTACTTCATACACGGTATTTTGTCTTTTATTCCTCATTAGAAAATTATTCCTTCATTCTAGGTTTATTTTCCCTTTTTTCCTGAAGCACATTCTTTTTTTTATTTCAGAGACATGAGAGGGAGGGGGGGGAGAGAGAGAGAGAGAGAGAGAGAGAGAGAGAGAGAGAGAGAGAAACCTTGATCAGCTGCCTCCTGCAAGTTCCCTACCAGGGATCGAGCCCCCAACCCGGGCATGTATCCTGACCAGGAATCAAACCAGCAACCTTTTGGTGCACATTCATAAAATTTATAAAATTCATAAAATTTACTGGTTTTGATATATTCACCAGGTCATTTAAACATTATTACAGTCTATGTATAGGACATTTTTCATCATCTCAAAGAGAAAAGAAAGAACAATATCCATTAGCAATCATTCTTTATTCCCTACTCCTCTTGCTCAATCCTAGGCAATCAATAATATACTTTCTGTCTCTATAGTTTTGCCTTTTCTGGAGTTTTTATGTAATGAAATTATATAATATTTTGTGACATTTTTCACTATTTCATTTTTTATTATGAATAATGCTGCTATGAACACTGATGTACAATTTTGTGTGGATGTATGTTTCTTCTTTTTTTTTTTAGATACACATAGTAGTAGAATTGCTGGGCCATAGGCTAACTCTTTTTAACCTCCTGAAGAACTGTGTAACTTTTCCAAAGCAACTACATCATTTCACATTCCCACAAGCAGAATGTGAGGGTTTCAGTTTTCCACATCCTTACCAACACTTGTTACTATGTCTTTTTGGTTGGAGCCATGTGGTGGGATGTAAAATGGTATCTCTTTGGGTTTTTGATTTGCATTTCCCAGATGGCTAATGTTGAACATCTTTTCATGTGCTTATTGGCCATTTGTATATCTTCTTTCAAAGACTGTCTATTCAGATCCTTCGCTCATTTTCAATTGGGGTATTTGTCTTATTATTGAGTTGTGAGAGTTCTTTATATATCGTAGATACAAGTCCTTTACCAAAACTTTTCTTCCATTCTGTGCATCCTGTAATGTTTTAAAGTAATGAGAATTTTTAAAATCTGTTCTTAATTGTATTTTTTTCTCCTTATCTAAGATGTATTCTGTGAAAATATCCAGTGGAGTATAGATCCAGGAGCAGACCTTTCTCAATATAAAATGGATATTACTGTAATAGATACAAAGGTAAGTTAGAAAGTAAAACGTAGGCTTGAGAGAAGATGCTTGTGTTGTATATCAAAGCTAAAATATTCTACAGGCAATAAAATGTGAATATTTCTAAAAGGTAAAAGTAAATATAACTTAATGCTACTGAAATGTACACTTAAAATGGTTAAATTAATGTTTTATATATATTTTACCACAATGTTTTTTAAAGTAAATATAAGAACATAAAGGGACAATTGTTAAAATTTTGGATTTTTAAATATTCAGGATGGCAGTCAATCACGATTAGCAGGAGGAGAGACAGTGGACACGGACTGTACGTTGGTCAGTGAAACTATGCTTTTAAAGAAGAAGCAAGAGCAGAAGGGAGAAAAAAGTCCAAGTAAGATATGATTTATTTTCTTATTTTAATAAAAAATATGGAGGGAAATACCATTGCATTGATAAGCACAGTGATCTCTTCACCATGAACTAAGTGTTTTTTTCCCCATTTTGATAATATTAGATTTCTCTTACTAAAGCTCAGAAAACCTATTTGAAAAAAATGATAGAAACTTCCCCTACCAGGTGAAAGAAATAGACATATAAGTCCAGGAAGCACAGAGAATCCCAAACAAGAGGAACACAAAGAGGCCCACACTAAGACACATCATAATGAAAATGACAAAGAGAGAATCTTAAAAGCAGCAAGAGAAAAGCAGTTAGTTACCTGCAAGGGCGGGAGCACTCATATGACTCTCAGCTGGTTTTGCAACAGAAACTTTGCAGGCCAGAAGTTAGTGGCAAGAAATATTCAAAGTGATGAAAAGTAAGGACCTACAACCAAGATGATTCTTCTTAGCAAAACTATCATTTAGAATTGAAGGTCAGATAAAGAGCTTCCCAGACAAGAAAAAGCTAAAGCAGTTCGCTTATCACCACCAAACCAGAATTCTATGAAAAGTTAAAGGGTCTTCTTTAAGAAGAAAAAAAAAATCAAGAATAGGAACAATAAAATAGCAATAAATACATATCAACAATTGACTCTAAAAATCAAAATAAATGAACAAGCAGAATAGAAACATTCATAGATAGAGAACATTTTGATGGTTGCCAGATGAGAAGGGGTGTTGGGAGATGGATGAAAAAGGTGAAGGGATTTAGAAGTACAAATTAGTTATAGCCCATGGATACAGAAAATAAACAGGTAAAGGCTTGGGGTGGGAGATGAGTGGAGGGAAATAAATGGGGAACATCTGTAATACCTCTAACAATAAAATAAATTTTAAAATAAATAAATAATAAGTAAAAGGTATAAAAGGGAATCTTGAAAGTCCTGTTTTAGAAATACAATTTTCCAAAGCAATGTCATAAGGCAAAAACGAGATCCTACTGAGAAATATTAGTATAGATTTGCAAATTAGCAGTAAATCTTCATCGAAAAGAGGTGGAACAGAAGGATTTTGCTTGGCGCCACTTTAGCAACATTCCTAACGAAAGCAGCATATGACATGAGATCAGCTAGACTGGGACTAGTTTCATTTGTCACCCTTTGAATGGGAGGTGTAAGACCTGCTACTTGGGGATTCGGTGCCAGAAGAGGCATTTACCAGCCCTCATCTGTTGGAAACAGGATATTCAGACTGTATTTGCATTCTCAATCTGCTGAATATTCTGTAGTCTACCTGCTCGGCCAAATAATAAAACAGCTATTCTTGTTCTCACTTCTTTAGACACACCTTTTTTCTTGCTGTCCTACATGCAGTAAATGAGAAAAAATTTTAATACTTTGCCTTAAATCTTTGTCCCTTAGAAATGAATAATGATTTATATTGATCAAGTAGCTGGCTGCCTAAGTTGTGAGAGGATGGTACCTATTAAAAGAAAAACCTTAGCAGTGGTTACTGTTTTTTTTATAGTGAATGACACAAATAATTTTCTTCTTTAAAGGTACTTTATTTTTAAGATTATTTTGTCCACAAACTCTATTTTATCCAGAAATTTGACTCTCAAAATGAAAAATAAACAAATGTCTAATCATTTAGTATATAATGAGCTGCAATTTTATACCGGGAAGTGTTCCAGGAACTGGAGACAATGCGTAAACAAAACAGAACTAATAGTGAACAAACAAGCAAATAAATATATGGTATGATAGATGATTATTTTGTTCACAATACCAGCCCTGATAATGTTTTCTTATTTTTGTAGGGGGAAAAAAATAAATAAATAAAGTATGACTACTTTGGCTTTAAATTTATCTAGTTGATTCAAAGAATGTAATGGTTCCCCAATATAATTGAAGCAAATATTGTGTAGAAGTGAGATTAGAACTTCAGCTAATGATTTATTAATTTTGGCTAAGTAGATCTTGCGTGTACTAATGATGCATAATAAATTAATCCAATAACTTAAAAGATTAAAATAACATTTTCTTATCTTTCGTAGTTTCTATGGCTCAGAAATTCAGGAAGGGCTTGGCTGTATGGTTCTGTCTCACAGTCTCTCATGCAGTTGTAGGCAGATGGTGGCTGGAGCTAGAAGAGCAAAATGCTAGACAGATGGGGGTGACTTGGCATCTCTCCTCATTCAGTCTCAGGGCTTCTCCATATGATCTTTCCACGAGGGCTAGTTTGAGCTTTCTCATCACATGGAGATTAGGTTCCCAGAGTGAGAATCCCATAAGGGCAAGATAGAAATAAAATGTAATTTTTATGATCTGGCTTCAGAAATTGCATAATGTCACAAAGACCTGCCTAGGTTCAAAGCAAGAGAAACATGGCCCTCACTACTCAGTGGAAGGAGTGTCGAGATCACTTTGTAAGAACAGCACATGGGATAGGAGATATTGCTAAGGCCTATTTGGAAAAAAAACAATCTGCCCATTTTACCATAAGGTAAACCTTTTAATACTTAGAAATGGTTAAAATTTAACACTCCAATAAAAACTCCAAATTGCTGCTAATGTTTCAATTCACAGAATGTTTTTTGTATCCCTACTCTGTGTTAGGACTTATAGATACTATGATAGAAAGATCAATAGGATATAATCTCTGTATTCAAGTATTTCATAGCAGAAGTCAGCAACTTACTGTGATTTACTAACTGCATATACAGAATGCTTTGGGAATGCCTAGCACACTGCCTACACATAGAAGTCTATTTTATCCAGAAATTTGACTCTCAAAATGAAAAATAAACAAATGTCTAATCATTTAGTATATAATGAGCTACAATTTTATACCAGGAAGTGTTCCAAGAACTGGAGACAATGAGTAAACAAAACAGAACAAAAGTACTAATAGGGAACAAACAAGCAAATAAATATATGGTATGATAGATGATGGTTAGTGCTGGAGAAAGATAAAATATGGTATGGGTGTTAGCTAGAGCACCATGGATTGGGGAAGATGGTAGTTATTTTATAGAGTAATCTCAGTAGGCTTCTGTTCTGTCATATTTGTTAGCTAACTGGATCTATTTCTGTTTTTTAGTAAATTCTGGTGAATTTAAAAATGTGATTGTATGGTAGGAAATGTAGTTACTACTCTGAAGATGAATTTAGCATTTTGCATGTCAAATATGGAATTGAATTCATTATATCAACACTACCAAGTGTTAATGGTAATGCAAGAAAATACATTTTTTGCTGCCACATTAGAAAAACAAGCAGGTAAACAAAATTCTATAGAGATTTATTTTTTCAAAATATATTTTTATTGATTTCAGAGAGGAAGGGAGAGGGAGAGAGAGAGAGAAAACATCCATCATGAGAGAGAATCATCAATTGGCTGCCTCCTACGCACCCCCTACTGGGGATTGAGCCAACAACCCAGGCATGTGCCCTGACCAGGAATTGAACTATGACCTCCTGGCTCATAGGTCGATGCTTAACCACTGAGCCACGCTGGGCTCTATAGAGATTTTAATGTCAGCTATTTATACACAATTTATTTCAGTATTTTTTTATTTTTCATTACGATATATTTTCTATTCCTCAGTTACTTTGGCAGATCTCCTTTTGGTTTAGCATAAATTACACATGACCTGATAGGAAGAAAATGATTTTTAATGTTTATAATGAAAATAACAAAAACTAGCATTCTCTTTACATGAGTAAAGGATATTTGGAGCCATAACATAGAGGTTTTATAAATGTACAGTAATTACCTAGACTTGGGAGTTTATTCTTGCCTCATGCACATTAAAATTATTTTGTAGCAATTAGTCTATATAGAAAGCAAGTGGTCTATATAGAAAGCAAAAAGCTTGCTTGTTGCCCTGAGTCAGTGCTCTTTTACATAGGTGGAGAAAGAAAAATGAATGATAGTATGGAAGATATGTTTGATCGGACAACACATGAAGAATATGAGTCCTGTTTGGCAGATAGCTACCCCCAAGTAGCAGAAGAGGAGGAATTGTCAGCTACAACAAAGAAACCAAACAGTAAGGCTGTTTTCTTTCTACTTATGGCTTCTCAGTTACACGGGGTTCAGGCTAATTAATAGAGTATGGATACGGTATATTAATTAATGTTTCATGTTGCTTATATAAATTTCTTTTTCATAGGTTTTGTGTTTTCTTTCCAGACTAATAGAAGAGTTACAAAAGTAGTTCAGAGGGTTCCCCTGTACCTTTCACTCAGCTTCTCCTTGTTACCATCTTATGTAACCATAAAATACTCATCAGGATTTAGAAATTAATCTTGATTCAATACTACACACTCTATAACGTGCATAAAGTTTATAAAAGTTTTGAGAAAATTCTTTTTTAAGTAATAAATTAATGATTGTAATAGAGTGAAAAGAGAAAGTTTTCTAGAAAATTCAGGCATGAATGCTTTACCTTTCCAGACAAAATACTTAATGTAACTATATATATATATCTTCTTAAACTACATTTTATTAGAAGCAGTAGTTTATAATGTAGGTTAGCAACCAAAAAAAATACTGAAAGTGAAGCTCTTAAGTAGTTGGTCTAATTGAAAATTAGTTAAAATTCTAGCTAAATATCTCATTTTCTTACTGTGAGCAAAACAGTCAGAATTTTTAATCTTGGGCAAAGTCTTTTTTTTATGCTGGTTTAAATGAGCGCACCTTCTGCTATGATACAGTCTATCTTGGTTATTTTTTCCTGTGTGCTTCCATCAGGTTTTTAAAACGACAAGCCTGAGCTCAGAGTGAATGAGACCCTGAGTGAAGATACAGAACAGCATGCTTTGCTTGCTCGGTCTGTGGCAAAATCTTGGTCAAGCAAATTTTGTGATAAAAATCTACAACTGTTAAATTTACATTTTTTCCCTCAAGAGCCTTTTGCAAATTAGTTCCACTTTAAAAAAAAAAAGGATATTCTTTTTTACAAGATATAATTGATTTCTGTCTCTTTTTTAAGTTACATTTCACCTTAACCATCCCAAAATTTCTTCTCATTTAGCTTTTGTGACAGTGATACAACATTCTTTTGAACTCTGACAACCTTTTTTTTCTAGATTATCTGCAATACACTGTTTTTTTCTCACACTCGTTTTCTCTCATGCTTTTATTAACCACCTCTGAAATTATCCCAAATCTGCATCTCTAGTCTGACTTCTCTGATGAATCCCATCCTGCATTTTTACTGCTACTTTTGTGTCTCCTCAACAGTTTAAATTTAACATATCTAAGCCAAGTTCCATTTATTTCCTACCAAGTGACCTTTCAGACGTTTTTATTTTTCCCAGTCATCCAGGCATATAATTTAGGACTTGTTGTTCATTTATTTTATTTTTTTGACTCTCATATCAAAAAGTTCTAAGTCTTCCCTCATAAGAAAGAGCAAGTTTGGGGGAGGGTATCAAAAGCTCAGTTCTGGGCATGTTAAACTAGACATTCAAATAGAGGTGTTTAGTAGGCAGTTGATGATTATTGAATTTAGATAAAAAAATCCAGAATAAAGAAATTATTGTGGCGGGGGGAGGCGGGCAGGAGGTCAACAGCAAATAGATGGTGCCTAAAGCTGTGACACTGAATGAGATCATCAGAGTGTTGAATATAATTAGAAAAGAGAAGCATTTCGTACATCACCAGTTCGATTCCCAGTCAAGACACAAGCCTGGGTTGCAGGCTTGATTCCCAGTAGGGGGCATTCAGAAGGCAGCCAATCGATGATTCTCTCTCATCATTGATGTTTCTATCACTTCTCCCTTTCTCTCAAAAAATCAATAAAAACATATTTTTTTTTTAAGTAGTTTGGTAATTTTTTTTAAATATTTTATTGAGTTTTTACAGAGAGGAAGGGAGAGAGACAGAGAGTTAGAAACATCAATGAGAGAGAAACATCGATCAGCTGCCTCCTGCACACCCCCCACTGGGGATGTGCCCGCAACCCAGGTACATGCCCTTGACCGGAATCGAACCCGGGACCCTTGAGTCCGCAGGCCGACGCCCTATCCACTGAGCCAAACCGGTTTCGGCAAAAACATATTTTCTTAAAAAAAGAAAAGCATTTCAAGTTCTAAACTCTGAGATATGACGACTTTAAAAAAAAGTCAGAGGAACAAAGAACCAGCAAACAACACTGAGAAGGAGCTGCATCCTGTGAATTGTGAGGGGAAGGAGAGTGGATGCTGTTTTGGGGCCAACTAAAAAAGACGCTCTGTATACTCATTACGTCCAGCCTCATCCCCTCTCTGCTGAGCCCCAGATTTGAATCCAACTACTTATCTATACTAATAAAAGGGTAATATGCTAATTAAACCGGACATCTTCCGGTCTACTTAGCATATTAGGACAAAGATACCTTCCAGACAAAGCCACAGTGGTGGGGCAGAGGCAGTTAGGGGCTTCAGGCCAGCAGGGGAGAGCAGTTAGGGGTGATCAGGCAGGCAGGGGAGCAGTTAGGGGCATCAGGCAGGTAGGCAGAGTGGTTAGGGGCAATCAGGCAGGCAGGCAGGTGAGCAGTTAGGAGACAGCGGTCCCAGATTGTGAGAGGGATGTCCCCCGAGGGGTCCCGGATTGGAGAGGGTGCAGGCCCGGCTGAGGGACACACACTTCCCCCCACCATGCATGAATTTCATGCACTGGGCCTCTAGTTTGACATAAGCACCTTGAACTGAACATACTTAAATTAGAAATCTTTATTTTTTTACCCAATTTTGATCTTCCCCTGCCTTTCTGCATCTCATTAAGCCCTATTACCTAGCCTCACAGTGACCAAAGATAGATGTTAGAGTCATATTTGATTTTTTCTTTCACCTCACCCTCAAGCCCAGCCTGATACCCTGGCTGTCCTATCTCCAAAATACATTTCATAACACTTCCCTTCATATCTGTAGCCATCATCCTAGCCTAAACCACTCCTATTTCTACCTCTTCTATCACAGGCCTCCTAACTGGTCTTTTTGTATAAGTTATTTTTCCTCTCTTGTTCAGTCTCTACAGAGATTCAGAAGTGATTTTTTTTTAATCCTCACCTAAGGATATATTTATTGATTTGAGAGAGAGAGGAAATAGGGGGAGAGAGACAGAAACATCAATATGAGAGAGAAACATCAATCTGTTGCCTCCCCAGTATACTCCAACCAGGGTTTTGAACCTGAAACCGAGGTATGTACCTGATTGAGAATCAAACCCACAACCTTTTTGGTGTACAATAGGTCCTTAGGTTACGTCGGAGATTCGTTCCTACTGCGCGACGTAACACAATTTTCGCCATAAGTCGGAACCCACCTACATAAGCCCCTACGTCACTCACATGTAGCACATACACAGCAGTAATGAAGTGAAACAGTAAACAAAATTTAAAAGAAAGATAACAATTCCTGACCTTTACTTGTGGTAAGTAAATAATAAAAAAACATAAAGCACATATGTACATATGTCAAAATAATGGAACTTTTTTTTATATATAAATAAATGGAAGATGGCGATGTAACCACGAAACGACGTACGTCGAGTCCGACGTAACCCGAGGACTGTCTGTACAGGCTGATGCTCCAACTCACTGAGCCACCCAGCCAGGGCCAAAAGTGATTTATTTTAAATGTAAAAGGGCTTGTATTATCTTCTTGTTTAAAAGAAGATAATTGAATGGCCAATAAGCACATGAAAAGATGCTCAACATTATTGGACATCAGGGACAAAGATACCACTTCATACCTGCTGAAATGGTTAAAAATATTGGCAATATCTAGCATCAGTGAGGATGAAGAGCACCTGGAGCTCCCATACATTGCTGGTGGGAGTATAACATTTTGCTTTGGAAAACAGTTCAGCATGGTTCTTTAACAGCTTTATTGGGGTTTGTTTGTAATTTAAGCATACACCTTACTTGTGACCCAGCAATTCCTCTCCTGTTTACATCCAAGGAAAATAAAAAACATGCTCACACAAAGATGTATTCAAGAATGTTCAGCCCTAACCGGTTTGGCTCAGTGGATAGAGCGTCAGCCTGTGGACTGAAGGGTCCCAGGTTCGATTCCGGTCAAGGGCATGTACCTTGGTTACAGGCACATCCCCAGTAGTGGGTGTTGCAGGAGGCAGCTGATGGATGTTTCTCTCTCATCGATGTTTCTAACTCTCTATCCCTCTCCCTTCCTCTCTGTAAAAGATCAATATTTTTTTTTAAATGTTCATAGCAGTGCTGTTTATAATAGCTCAAAACTGCAAACAAGCCCTAGCTGGTTTGGCTCAGTGGGTAGAGCGTTGGCCTGAGGACTGTAGGGTCCCAGGTTCGATTCCAATCAAGAGCACATGCTCGGGTTGCAGGCTCGATCCCCAGTAGAGGGCATGCAGGAGGTAGCCAATCAATGATTCTCTCTCTCCCTTCCTCTCTGAAATCAATAAAAGTATGTATTTTTTAAAAACTAGAAACAGGCAAATAAATAGAAATTGTGGTATATTCATAAGAAATACTACTCAGCAAAAATGGAGGGACCTATTAGACTCAACAACATGGATGAATCACTAAAACTTGTAAAATTAGAAAAATGCAAAAGAACAAAAATAATATAAATATATAATCGCATTAATATGAAGTTCTAAAACAGGCATGGCTAAGCTATGGTGATGAAAATCAGATCAGGGGAGAGCAGTTAAGGGGAGAGCAGTTAAGGGGCGATCAGGATGGCAGGGGAGAGCAGTTAGGAGGCGATCAGGACGGCAGGGGAGAGCAATTAGGGGGCAATCATGCCGGCAGGGGAGAGCAGTTAGGGGGCAATCATGCCGGCAGGGGAGAGCAGTTAGGGGGCAATCAGGCTGGCAGGGGAGAGCATTTAGCAATCAGGATATGACCAGTTGACTGGTCAACCAGTTGCTATGATGTGCACTGACCACCAGAGGGCAGACACTCAATGCAGGAGCTGCCCCCTGGTGGTCAGTGTCCTCCCACAGCCTATCTCCCATGGCTGACCAACCTCCCGCAGTCTCTCCCCTCAGATTGGAGAGGGTGCAGGCCAGGCTGAGGAACCCTACCCATGCATGAATTTCGTGCACTGGGCCTCTAGTCCTTTTATAAAAGACTATCTATAGAGACTTTTTTCTTTTTTTCTTTTAGTTTGTCTTCTTTGTTTGTAGAGACTTTTATACATAGTTTTTAAATCTAAGATACTTTCATAGATATGATTTTATCTCTTTAGTAGTAAATTTTTAAATATTTTTTTATTGATTTCCGAGAAGGGAGATGAGAGAAACATCAATGATGATAGAGAATCTTCGATTGGCTGCCTCCTGCATACCCCCTACCCCCTAAGGGAGAGGAAACATCACTGATAATAGAGAATCTTCAATCGACTGATCCCACAACTCGGGCATGTGCCCTGACAGGGAATCAAATCATGACCTCCTGATTCATAGGTCTATGCTCAACCACTGAGCCACTGCAACTGGGCTAGTAGTAATTTTGAGGTGACATAATTTGCACTCTGCTTATCACGCAGATGAAAAAGGGAGAAATTCGTTATAAAAAATTTTGACCAGGGGTCTAGAGTATGAAACCCAATGAAAATGGAGGTCTTAATATGTCTTTTTTCCTCCCCCCAAAAAAGCAAATTATTTTAGTAATTTTGTATTCAGTTTGTGATATGCTTCTTTTGTTTATAGCTCGTGGTGACAAACAAAATAAAGTCACACAGAAAGCATTTGTGGAGCCATATTTTAAAGATGATGAAAGGTAAGTTGATCTTAATAAATGCCACCAATGTGATTGAAAGTGTTAACGGCGTTCTTTGTCAGAACCTCTCTGAACTGTAAAATTGCTACGTTGGTTAAAAAACAATGTGTTTCATTTAATTTATGGCCCTAACGAAACTGGAACTCAAGCTTTACAAAAATGACAAATTTTACAAATAAGGAAAATTTACCACCACTACCCTTTCTTTTTTACAATGGTGATAGTTATTTTCTCTATTTTATTATAACAAATATTCATATTTTATTTTATTATGACGTTTATTTGAACTTTGGGAATTTTTTTAATTGTATACTGTAACTTTTACATAGTATAAGACTTTAGGTGGGAAACCTTAGGTTGTGCTTCAGAATTATTTTATAAGGAGTTTTAAACCTTCAAAGCAAGTTAATTTTGAACCATAATGCTACATTCTGCTAAATTCTGAAACTTTCAGTCATGTACTATTCTTTTTAGAAGTAAATTAAGGCATAGTAATTTATCCCAAATTATTTTGTGGTTTTTTTCCCTTAAAGTTATGAATTTGGAAAATTGAGTCACTTAGTAAGCAAAGTTAATTCCTTACACTTTTATTTTTGTCAAGAATTTTAGAAGTCAGACAGACCAAGATAAATTTTGATTGATGCCTGTAAGACTCTAATAGATAAATGCTGTCATTTTGTGGCTAAATTATTTTTATTTACCCGTTTTTCAAATAAATAGTTTCCTAGCATCTCAAATATAACTAGGGAGTTTTTTGTTTTAAATTTATCATTACGAATTCATGGATTTAGATATATTTGATGCTTGAGTCCATTGCAGTTTGTTATCCTTCTTGGTATTGAAACTGTTCCATCTTTGCCCCGTGGAAGCCTCTTTGGATACTACCCTAGTCATCTTTCAGCTTCCTTGCTTCTGGTGTGATAGATGTCCCTGTGTACTTCCTGTCATAGGCCTAGCATCTATCATGACTCCCAGAGCCCTAGGTTGTTTTTTTGTTTTGTTTTAGTAAGAAATGAGACTTAGGCCATAGTCTAGCCACTAGGGTTGCTTGTTGCAGCTGCTAGTCATTGTTTCTAGACCTTTTAGGTGAACAAAGTTAAAAATAAAGTTTTTGTTTCATTTTGTTTTTTAAAATGAACTACTTGTTTATACTGATAGCTCCAATTCAAGTTCAAGACTACAGGATTTTTACATAACCTCCTGTGTCTCATCTGTACCTACTTTCCCACCTGAAAATTCCACTTCTTGGAACAACATTCCTCATTTAACTTTATTCCACAATGCATACACAAAGCAATCTCAGAGTAATACTGACTATCACCAATAATTTGATTTAGGAAAACGGTTTAAGACTTATTAGTCTCTTTTTAAGTTATGTCCTATTAGAAATATACAGTCAAATCACTGTGTTTTAAAGTCAGTTCAGATCATTATTTTCTGTGTAATTATGCCACCAACTCAGTACCTAGGTTTGTTTTACTTTTTTATTTTGTAGGGATTTTTTATCTTTATTTTTAAAATAAGGCAAATTATGTACATGGTGCCAGATGCTATAAAACGAGGTATATTCAAATAAGTCCAACTTCTTATCTGTTAGCTTCACCCATTTAGCTCTCTATCTCTAAAGGTAATCATCGTAAAAAATAAAAAAAGGTAACCATTTGTTTAAAATGTATGGTTTTTCATCCATTTTACAAAATAAAATCAAGTTTTATCTACATACATATCAGGATATTGGTAGCTGCACTCTCTCTCCCCTTAAACAAATGGTAGAATACTATATATGCTTTTCTCTACTTTGCTTTTTTCATTTAAATCACTCGTCTTAGTATATAGTGCTTTCCTCATTTCTTTTTTAGTTTCCTAGTACCTCATTGACTGTACCATAATTTATTCCATAGCATGGTTGCTTGGATTGCTCATAATTATGCTGGCATGCATAGTGCTGCAATGAATAGCCTTGTACATTCTCTTTCCAAATTTTTGCCTGTGTATCTTTGGGATAATTCCTAGAGGTAAGCTTGCAGAGACTGGCATTTCAGATGTTTCATGTTAGAGGTTCACCACTTTTTAAAAAATACGTGAGTAGTTTTATTTATTCTGAAACCATTAGGTATCTGGAGATACAGGTGGTGGGTAAAGGTATAGGATAGGAGTGGTATAACAGTCTCAGAGTTAATGTGGTTCCTTTCCCCACTGAAAATACTAGCAAACCCTGGGAAAAGATGGGTTGTGTTGTGTCAGGGACAAGCAGCTCAGTAACCTTTTAGGTGATGCTTTGATGTCTACTACAGGTGCCAGTTTACTAGTTGACTCACTGCTGCATTATAGTACACCTAGAAACAGAATAGATAGTATGCAGAAGAAAGAAATATAAGCTTAAGATTCCATAATTATTTGAAAGAAAATATACTTATGGCAATATTTTTTATCCGGCCTTTCTTGGTCTCCCTTTTTAAATTCACTGGTTACTCCAGGCTTGAGAATTCTTGGGTTTAGGCACAGAAGGGCCTATAATTTCATATACTTTGGAATAGAATAACTAAAGCTTATTTTGAAGGAAAGTGCTTGCCAACTAGAGGGGCCTGTGACCAAAATACCTCAACATGGTATATGTGTTACCAGCAAGTCATTTTTAGAAAGTCAGTTTTTGTGAATCAGACTGTTTAAATTCACTGGGATGTTTCTGTTATATATATGCCATCACATGATTTTTTTATTTACCTACCTTGTTAATTTTTGATTTTTCTATATTGGGTCTTTTTCTTAAGTCCTCACCCAAGGATATTTTTCCCATTGATTTTTTTAGAGAGAGTGGAAGGGAGAGAGGTGTGGGGAGGGAAAGGGGGAGAAGGAGGGGGGAGAGAGAGAGAGAGAGAGAGAGAGAGAGAGAGAGAGAAAGAGAAAGAAACGAGAGAACACCATTGGGGCCAGGATCAAACCTGCAACCAAGGTACCTGCCCTTGACTGGGAATCAAACCCTTTAGTCCTTGGGCTGATGCTCTAACCCAGTGGTTCTCAACCTTCTGGCCCTTTAAATACAGTTCCTCATGTTGTGACCCAACCATAAAATTATTTTCGTTGCTATTTCATAACTGTAATGTTGCTACTGTTATGAATCGTAATGTAAATATCTGATATACAGGATGGTCGAAAGAGAAACCTGTGAAAGGGTCGTTCGGCCGCCAAAGGGGTCGCGACCCACAGGTTGAGAACCGCTGCTCTAACCTTTGAGTTTTTCTTCCCAAAGTACTACATACCTCTTTAATCCATACCTCAGTGGCTTTGACCTAACTTCCTAGGTTTCCAGTGTTAACAATAGGATTTGATCCATTTAATAACAAATATAAATGATAATTTTGCCTAATATTTTGAAGAATTTAGGGTAGATGGAAGCAGCATAACAAACTTTTGGAGCAAAACAGCAAATACATACAAATACAGTAGGTCCTTGGGTTACGTCGGAGATCCATTCCTAGGGTGAGACATAACTCGATTTTCGCCATAAGTCGGAACCCACCTACATAAGCACCTACACAGCAGTAATGAAGTGAAACAGTAAAAAAATTTAAAAGAAAGATAACAATTCCTGACCTTTACTTGTGGTAAATAAATAATAAAAAACATAAAGCACATATGTACATACGTCGAAATGATGGGACTTTTTTTTTAATATAAATAAATGGGAGATGGCGATGTAACCACAAAATGATGTAAGTCGAGTCCGACGTAACCCGAGGACTGTCTGTAGATAAATCTGTTCTTTAGCAGGGAGTAGGTTAGCCCTGAAATATGGGTTCTTAGTACTAGAAAACCAAGTTAACAGAGGCAGTATTCTCTTTCTTGGTTATGGTATTCCTTAGTTTAATAATACAGTATTCTTTTTTGTTTGTTTGTTTAACCCTCACCTGAGGATGTTTTTTATTGATGAGAGAGAGAGAGAGAGAAAGAGAGAAAGAGAGAGAGAGAGAAGCATTGATTGGTTGCCTCCCATATGCACCACAACCAGGAATGGGAACCCAAAACTTAGATAAGTATCCTGACCAGGAATTGAACCCATCACCTTTTGCTGTATGGGACGACACTCCAACCACCTGACCCACCCAACCAGGGAAGTATTCCTTTTTATTTAGGCTATTTTATATTTCATCTCCTAATCTATTATTTTCAGCCATTCGGGGGCAAAAATAGGAATAGTTAACTTTTTCAGAGAAAAATATCCATAAAAATACCTCACATATAGTAGGCAGTTAATATTTACTGAAGAATGAATGAAGAAGTATTTGGGTTTTTGACATACTGAATAAACATTTCAAATAAAATGAATGAATGTTTTGGGATTATTTCTTCCCTGGGCTCTCACCTTTGTTAATTTAAAACCTAAACCAAAGATCTTTGTAATAACAAATGGATTAATTTTAAACTTAATTTATTTTTCCCCCCAGAGAGACTAGCTTACAAAATTTTCCTCATATTGAAGTGGTTCGGAAAAAAGAAGAGAGAAGAAAATTGCATGGACACACATGTAAGGAATGTGAAATTGTAAGTACTACTATAAATACTGTTCAATTGTTGTTTTTTAACAATATGGCTTTATAGATCATGAATGCATGATTTTAAAATCATAGATAAAAATTACATTTGTATCTAGAAACCTAGTTTAAGCCAGGAATAACAGAGTAAACAGAGAGAATATTGGCTGAGACCTAAGAGAAATAATAGATTAAAAATATATTTTTATTTGTTCTAGGAAGAGAGAAAAACATCAGTGATGAGAGAGAATCATAGATCAGCTGCCTCCTGCACATCCCACATTGGGGATCAAGCCCTCAACCCGGGCATGTGCCCTGATGGGGAATTGAACCATGACCTCCTGGTTCATAGGTCGATGCTCAACCACTGAGCCATGCCAGCTAGGCTGGGTATTTTTAATTAATAAACTATTTTTTAGAACAGTTGTAGGTCCACAGCAAAATTGAGTAATACATAGAGAGTTCCCATATACCCCTGTCCCCATTATCCTTTTCTCTCTTTTCTCTTTACGGAGTACTTTCAACACAGCAATGAATGGACTTTTTTTCCTAATGATGTTTTTGGAATAAAAGTTAAATCATGTCACTCCTCTACCAAAAACCCTTAAATGTCTTCTTATCTCACTAATAAACAGAATCTAAAGCCCTACAGCACACTTTAGCACCCCACTTTTCTCTGACTTCATCTACTACTACTCTCCCACTTACTGTGTTACAGACACATTAGCCTGTATTGTTTGTGATTATGTTGTAATTTGATGGTAGTGTTTCTCTAACATTGATTGATAACTATGATTCAAGGGCCTCCCATCCCCATTCCCAGGCTAAGGTAACAAAGGCTAAATTCATGGCAATGAAAATGATGAGAAAGATACCCAAAAAAAGTTGTTTCAGAGATACTCTAAGAAAATGTAATTAAACTACAGAAAAGAAAAATGTATGAAAAACCTTTACTTTAAACTTAAATTTTAGTCCTAAATCTGCTACTTTCAGTAGTGATATCTTGGTAAATTATCACTTTGACTTTCAGTTTCTCAACTATACAATGGAATTAGCTGGATTATATGTGATCATATACCTCTGTTCTATTAAACTTTACACTACTCCTTTTTCTTTAGATCTAGAGCTTAAAGACATATACAGTTTGTACATATAAGTTTTATCCTTGTTTGTGTGAAATTCAGGTTCTTTATAATTGCAATTGCAAAAAATGATATGCCTTTGATCCTAATTAAAAAGTACAGTTTGAGGGAGGAGCCATGAAGCCTGTAGCATTCAAAGTTAAACCTTTATTTTTAAAAACTGTAGAGATAGGAAAATTACTTCAAAACATACATTATATCCAAATAACAATTGAGAAAGTGCTGTTCAAAAATGCAGGCCTCTCATTTCTGTTACCAGTCTGGCAAAGGGGAAGAGTTTGCACCAATAAGTCAGTCATCTGTGTCACTAAACACATTGTAAAGTTCAGCTGGCATTTCTTCCCATTGTAGACTTTACTGATGGAGGCGGCAATATGTTGATGTACATTGTAATACAAGCTTCTTTTCTCGTTTGTGAAGCAAACATTTCACAGACCAGCAGTAATTACTGTTAGTAATTAATACTACAATCATCAGGTAGTAGTATAGTTTTCTTAGCATGCCTAATACTTTAGTAAAAAGTTTTCTTAGCTTCAAGTTTATAATCAGTAATCAAATAACCCCATTTATTATTCCTAAGTGGAAAACTTACCAGTTTTTATTACTAGTATTATGCAGACATTCCAGCAGAAGAAAGAGAAAAGAAGTTGGCTTCCTGTTCAAGACACCGATTTCGCTACATTCCACCCAACACACCAGAGAATTTCTGGGAAGTTGGTTTTCCTTCCACTCAGACTTGTATGGAAAGAGGTGAGAGTATAGATTATAACATTTTCAAATTAATTTTTTAATACATATATACCCAAATATAACCTTTTCTCAATGGTTCTCTTTACCTTCGGTAAAAGTTTTGTGACATAAAAACAAATTCCTAAAGATAAAAGGCTTATCTTCAACTCTTCAAGTAATTTCACTGGAATCAAATTGTTTATAATACTTTAGTGCAGCAGTCACCAACCAGTGCTCCACAGACCACTGGTGGTCCGTGAGGTCCAAAAGATTGGCGACCATGCTTAGTGTGATTGTGTATGCATTATCCTGGTCTATCACTCAAATTTCAGAAAGCAATTTGCTCCTTCCTGCTATCATCAAAACAACTTTTATTAAAATAAATAATTTTATAAAAGTTGCCAGCAAGGTTTATCATTTTAAAGCCACTACTCTGAATTTTAGATTTTAAAACCTCACTTATGCAGAATGCTGGTTATGTTTAAACCATGTATGAGTAAAAAGGACCTTTGTTTGTTTGCTTGTGAAATTGTTGACATGCAACTAGCTCATTCAAAAATGGCACTTATATTTAATACAATTTGAGCATGTATGCAACTTTAATGCTCCAGACATTTAATGGTAAGATAGTTCTTCCAAAGATGCAGTCTTTGACAGTCATTACCATATTTCCACTGTCCCCCTTAACAAGCCAGGTTAAGTCCTCTGTGACATGATCTCTCTGCTGGTCATCATTTAGAATTAGTCTGGATGAAAGCCTCTTTGTACTAATATAGCCTAGGGCAGTGGTCGGCAAACTTCGGCTCTTTGGCCCCTTGAGTGTGGCTCTTCCACAAAATACCATGTGCGGGTGCACATGTACAGTGCTATTGAAACTTCGTGGCCCATGCGCAGAAATCGGTATTTTGTGGAAGAGCCACACTCAAGGTGCCAAAGAGCCGCATGTGGCTCACGAGCCGCAGTTTGCTGACCACTGGCCTAGGGGTCTGGTTGGAGAACAGTCCTCCCCTGAATACCTTAGAAGAGTCTAATAGTCTGAAGAGTATAGGGGCTTGTCTTCTAATGAAATAGCTACTACAAAAAGTCTTTTTGATAAGCACCTGGAATTTATCATAATAGTATAGTGGAAGCTACTTCAAAGGACTGTGAGTGTTATCTGAGGTATTGTATATAACACATTTGATAAATGTTTGCTACTATGATGGTTAGTATAAATGAGGAAACTGATGCTAAATAATGAAATCCTTCATCAGCATCACTCAGCTAATAGAATCATGTAAACTTACATGGCATTAAATAAGTCAAATGTTTACTGGATATGTGCTGAAAGAAACATGTTGCTAACATAGTCTTCTAAATTTGTAATTTGTTTTTAAGGTTATATTAAGGAAGATCTTGATCCTTGTCCTCGTCCAAAAAGACGGCAGCCCTATAATGCAATCTTTTCTACGAAAGGCAAAGAGCAGAAGACATAGATGTTGAAGCAAAAACATGATAGAGAACAATTTTTTTCTTTCTAGTTATTTATAGCTAATGTTGGTATTAAACACTGATTTTTTTTTAATCTTCTGTAAGCTGATTTATAAATCATTTTCTATTAAAAATATTTTTTAAATGGCATTTACCTACCACACAACTACTAAAAATGTGGGTAAGTTTATATTGTCTTTTCTTGCTTTTGCACTTCTAAACAATAAGGTGCTTTAATTTTGCACTCTAAGTTAAGAATTGTTTATTTACTTTGTTTGGCATTACCCAATTACAGTTTTGAAAATATGATAGTTGTCTGTGATTTGTTTTTCAGATCTTTTCTTTTAATTCCATCTTTCCTTGTTATTTACATTCAGCAGTGACTTCATGTTTATCATTACAAATTTTCATCCTCTTAATCATTGCTCTTCTGTTGGTCATTCCAATATCTAAATTTAAGTGTTTAAACATCTAAATTTTAATAGTCCTTTTAGCTTTCCAGCTTTTATCTTTTGTTGAATTGAAATGAGGTGCTACTGTAGAGTGTATTCCTTTTGAGGTATCCACAAATACCAACTTTTTTCCTTTTGCATGAACTGTAAGTTAACATCACCCTCTGATCTGATGCTAATATTCCAGTTTCTCACATGTAATTTTGTGTTTGTTTTTTTTCCATTATACTTTTTTTTTCTGGTGCATTTTTCAAGATGAATTTGTTGAGGTCTTTGCCCGTGTGTTCAAGTTTAGTTGTATTGTTTCTCTAGATTGACTGTTATGAACTCCCAATTTGGCAACAAAATAGATTTCTCGATTTAGCAACTTTCTACTCCTCCTGGACCTACCATAACTAAGCATATCTGTGTCACCTTTTCTAGTGGCATTTTGTTTATCAGGGGTTTTTTGTTCCTTTAGTCCATATCTTGATAGTATTATATAAGCAGGATTACATAGACACTGAATAGAATGTCTCACTCTGTGTACATTATTTGGCTCTAAATGTGATTCTGAATTTTTTACAATCCTATCATAACTTCTATTCAGCACTTTTCTTCCCGCCTCAAATTGTTTCTCTATCCTGTTTGATTTTTTTTCTCTGCTGACAGTTACCTAATCTCCCCCAAAATGATAGAAACCATTCATAACTATGCCAAGAACTGTTTATGCTATTCACATAGATTTTTCTTTTAATTCTCAAATAATCTTACGAATTTATGTATGAGCTTAACATTACGCTGCCAAAAATGGATCCAAGAAGCAGATTAAACAACGAATGACTGGTTTTCTTTTTCTCACAATAAAGTCTGGAGGTCGAATCTAAGGCTGGCAGTGCAGCTCCAGGATGCCCTGTGGACCCAGGTTTACTCTAGCTTTCTGCTTTCATGCTCTGTATGTGGCCTTCATCCTTGTGACTGTAAAATAGGCTACCTCTAGCATCATGTCCATGTTCTAAGTAGAAAGAGGAAATGGGGAAAAGCACGTGTCATTTGTTTTGGTTCCCCTTTAAAAAGTTTTCCTTAAGCCTCCACCCAATAGCTTTCTGTTTCTCAATGGCCAGAATTGTCACTTGGCTAAAACTACTAGTAATAACTAAGGGATGAAATTAGAGCAGAGGTGGGGAACTTTTTTCCTGCCAAGGGCCATTTGTATATTTGTAACATCATTTGTGGGCCATACAAAATTATCAACCTAAAAATTAGCCTTCTATATTTAGTCAAACATTTAATTAACTCACCCCTAATGCCTTGGCAGGGCCAAACCAAATGATTTCCCGCGTCTTTTACAGCCCTAGGGCCTGACATTCCCCATCCCTGAAGTGTAGAGCCTGAGGTTGCCTAATTCCAGAATCAGATCTTGTACCTCTAAAGACCAGGAGTCTGACAGTCACATGGTTTGATGAATAGGGCACCACAGGATGTACAGTTTGAGCTCTGATGGACTTTGCTATTTAAAAGCAGCCTACGCAGACACAGCAAGAGACTATCTGATAGTAGCTTAACAGCAGCCTAAACCTTTATAACTAGCATGTCATTTTATCCTCACCTTGTGGAAGGTTGGGTAAACTAAGTTCTCTCTCCCTTATTATCTGCTACTGTCTAGCTCAGGGGTGGGCAAACTTTTTGACTCGAGGGCCACAATGGGTTCTTAAACTGGACCGGAGGGCCGGAACAAAAGCGTGGATGGAGTGTTTGTGTGAACTAATATAAATTCAAAGTAAACATCATTACATAAAAGGGTACGGTCTTTTTTTTTTTTAGTTTTATTCATTTCAAACGGGCCGAATCCAGCCCGCGGGCCATAGTTTGCCCACGGCTGGTCTAGCTCTACCATTAAGTGAAGTCATGAAATAGATACTTTTCAAAAACACTGAAGTTAGAAGGATGCATTTAAATGCAAAACTGCAATATATGACAGATTGTGCACTTCAAACTTTTCTTTAAAAAGATAATGTATGTGAAAGGGCTTTATTCATTTGTAAAGCATTATATATTAGACAATACTTTCATACAAATACATGCCAATCACTGTTTATATAGAGATATGTATAGTTTCAGGTTGCCTGTGAGCTTTTTAAAGTTGAAGACCTCTGATTCAAACTTAGAAAGCATGCAGAACCTGTGTGTCAGCACTTAGCATTTGAGTAACACCTTCCTGCCTTTAAACAAGCAGGTATTTTGTTTAAACCAGTGGTCGGCAAACTCATTAGTCAACAGAGCCAAATATCAACAGTACAACGATTGAAATTTCTTTTGAGAGCCAAATTTTTTAAATTTAAACTATATAGGTAAGTACATTGTTATTAACTTAGACCCCTTCCAACTCTCCCATTCACACTCGTCTTGTATACTTGTTTCAGATAGACGAGTGTGGATGGGAGAGTTGGAAGGGGTCGACCTCAGCGAACATACCTCAAAACAATGTACCTCCCCTGCGCTGCGTATCCCACGGCCTTCCTGCACCGCATCTCCCGTCGCCCTGACAGACCAACACCCCCCACTTCTTCTAACGCCAGTTCTTCAAAATAGACTCGTCCAGGCCGGAAACCAACTTCTGCGCATGGGCCACGAAGTTTCAATCACACTGTACGTGCGCGCCCGCACGTGGTATTTTGTGGAAGAGCCACACTCAAGGGGTCAAAGAGCCACATGTGGCTCGCGAGCCGCAGTTTGCCGACCACTGGTTTAAACTACCTGAAACCTAAGATTGGCCAAGGCAGCAGTTTGAATGAATTAGTCATGGATGCCCAGATGTATGTAGAAGACATAATAGGCTACATCGAGAGAGCAAAATAAAGCAGAATATTCCCTAACACCTGTCATGTGAAAAGTTTTCCCAAAGTCCAACTGCAAAGGCTGCTGTTGTAGGCTTAAAGTATTAGTAACTCAGTTTAAACTGCATCTAGCATATGTATGTAAAAATGCATAGAAGACACTATTCTAAAAGAAATAGTGAAAGGCTGCAAAGATTCCTCCCCAGGTAGTGTTTATTTGTAATTCAGTTACAAAAAAAAGAAATAGTGTTACATAAACCAAATACTAATACATTTATTTAAAAACCATTTATCAAGCACTTTACCAGGCACAATACTAAAGACAGAATCAGGCAAGATTGGACAAATTTTCTTTTGAAGGAGCAAGCTTTTAAAGAAGACAGACCTAAGAATTTTATCCTGTTATCCCTGACATTTTAGCATAACAAACATGAATTTTATATTGAAAAACGCCACTTTGGAAATAAGCATTTCAAATATATCTCAAATTTCAGCATCCAGCTATGTTCAAGAATTCTAGCAGTTTAAGAGACATCTCAAACTCTTTGCTGAGCTGATGCTGTTAGAATGGCTCCTTAGAAAACTGAAGTGTCCTTCCACTTGAGTCCTGTAGCATATACACTTAGGCAAGCAGTTGTGTGCTATCGCCAGCAGAGGCCAGAAGAGAGTTATTGTTGGAGAAGACAGTGGAAATTAGGGGCTGAATGGCACTACCAAAAGAAAATTTCTAGGATAAATAGATATGAGTTGGGTACAGTAATGAAAGCATATTGGGCAAAAAGCAAGCTTTCAATAAAACTCTACTGGAATAAAACAAGTGGCAGAGGCAATAATTCATGGTCCTGAGGGGAAAATAACAAACATTGCATACATACTAGGCATTTAGGGCTACAGAGATGTGAGATCCTGTTATTGCCCAGTGGGAGACCAGATATAAATTGATTGATTGACAGATGCCTAAGAAGTCAAAGAATTTTAGATTGAGTACCAAAAAAAATGTTAAGGATAATTAGAACCTGAACTGCCTTAGGATGATTTAACCTAGGGAAGCAGAGAGGAAGAGACAGTACAGTCTAAATTGGGAAACTAAGCTGAGTATTGAAATGTTAAAATACCAAGTCAGAAGGAGCCTCAGAGATTATTGGTTGACTTGCAAGGTCCCTATAAACTGGAACCTCAGTAGGGTGCTTTTTTCCCTTCCTAAGTCCTAGGAAGCACATACAAGGTTTGTGTTGGTACAAGGCAGTAAACTTGTGTCTTAAAGGTAAGACTAACGAATTTAGACTTGAGTGTTTAGGCTTTCAAACTATTAGTAGTGGATCCTTTACTCAAACCCTACACAGAACCCCAATAAACAATGTTTTCAAGGCATACATTTATTTCAATGATTCAGGTTTATCACCTTATTAATCCAATCAATAGGACGGGATAAATACTAAATTGGGAAATGACTTATGGATGGCAGGTTACATCGGCCTCAGCATCCATGATATCCCAGATAAAAGTTTGCTGCACCCCAGACCAATTAAATCATTATTTGTAGGCAAGTTCCAGGCATCAGTCCTTTTTTAAAAGCTCCTTAAGTGATCAAATGTACAGCGGAGTTTGAGAACCACTGCCCTAAATCACTGTTCCAGGCTGGTTCAATGGTATTCAAACGAATGTTCATCAAAACCACGTGGGAGGTTTATTAAACCACAGACTGCTGGGCTTTACAGTAGATTTAAAGGCAGAAAGCATTACTAGAAATAAAAACCAACAATCATATCAATAAGTTCTATTTACCAGGAAGTTCAAAGTTCACATAGCCTGGCCAGTGTGGCTCAGTGGT